GACTCTCGATAAAGCTCCAACAAAGAAACATGAAAGACTAGATGTACCTTCATAGAAGCCGGTAATTCTAGACGGTATGCCATTGGATTGATTTGCTTTTGGATGATAAATGGTCCCAATCTTCTATAGTCCAACTTATCACATGGTCGCATGGTCTTGATATTCCGTCGAAGAAGCCATGCTTTATCTCCAATTTTGAAAGTAGGTGCTTGATTCCAAAATCTATCTACAGACGCCTTGTAGGATTCTTGAGCAGATTGTAATTGAAGCTTCAACGTATTATGAAGCTCTGATAGTTGTTTCGCAAATCCTTCAGCTGCTGGATTGTTATTTGTTGATGGACTCAATAAATCAAGCTTTGGATGATACCCATAGTTGGAAAAGAATGGTGTGTATTGAGTCGACGCATGGAGGGTGTTGTTATATGCAAACTCGGCTAGCGGCAAATATGTGGTCCAATCGTCTTGCTGATAGTTGATGCTGCATTATAAGTATTGTTCCAAGACTTGGTTGACCCGTTCCGTTTGACCATCAGTTTGAGGATGAAAAGCTGAAGAAAGCTTGATATCCACCTTCAGTATCTCAAAGAGAGATCTCCAAAACTTTGATATGAACTGGGTTCCTCGATCTGATACGATATCATCTGGTAGTCCATGATATCGATACACATTATCGAGAAAAAGCCTTGCTGTGACTTCACTGGACGATGTCTTCTTGCAAGGAACGAAGTGTACCATTTTTGTAAGCCGATCTACCACAACAAAGATGCTGTCAAATGAGTTCGATGATGGCAGGTCCGTGATGAAGTCCATAGAAATTGAAGACCATGGTCGATGTAGAATCGGTAATGGCTGTAGGAGTCCATAAGGGCGATGCCGAGGATTCTTGGATCTTGAACAGATGTCGCAGGAGAGGACAAAATCTTTCACATCCTTCCACATTTGAGGCCACCAAAAATCTCGAGAAATAAGCTCCAAGGTCTTGTTGAATCCAAAATGTCCCGCAGCTGGAAAATCGTGGCGAGATTGAAGAACTCGGAGTCATGCTGGTCCTTTTAGGATATATAATCGCTCTTCAAAGTATAAAAGATCTCCCTCCACCTTGAACTTGTCGTCATTGGCACGCTGCTTAATATCAATGGCTACTGAATCTTCAATGGTTACGACACGTACCTGATTCAGGAAGTCAGCATCAATTGGCATAATAGTAGCGCAAAGCTGAAATTGCTGTGGCTTCAACAATGTCGTACATTGTTGCTCAAACGCTGCTTCTCCAGCCTTTGGTACAAGATACGATCTCCTCGATAAGGCATCAGATAGTCCTTGCTGCTTTCCAGGTCGATAAGTGATAATAAAATCGAACCAAAATAGCAACATACTCCATCGAGCTTGACGTCGATTTAAAACTCGAGCCAACATGAAATACTCCAAATTCGTGTGATCTGTGTATATGGTCATTGGATGTGTAGCTCCTTCAAGAAAGTGACGCCATTCTTGGAAAGAATCCACTATAGCAAGAAGTTTCTTATCGTGGATCTCATAATTGATTTCAGCAGCAGAGAACTTTCGAGAATAGAATGCAACCGGATGGAGCTTCTTGTCTTCTCCCATTTGTGAAAGTACAGCTCCCAAAGCAAAATCCGAATCATCAGTTTCTAAATAGAAGGCCTTTGTAAAGTCTAGATGTACCAAGATTGGAGCTGTAGTAAATGCGGTCCTCAGGTTTTGAAACGCCTTCTCTGCTAGAGGTACCCATTCCAGCTTATCCTTGCATGTCAACCGAGTGAGAGGAGCAGCAACTTGAGAGTAATTCTTGATAAAGATCCAATAGAAGTTGGCAAAACCAAGAAAGCATTGTACGTCTCTAACCATCTTCGGAACCTCCCAGGACACGATTGCTTCCACCTTCTTGGGGTCCAACTTCAAGCCTTCCGTAGTGGCAACAAATCCCAGAAACTCCATCTCTATTTGGTGAAATAAACACTTCTCCAACTTGGCATATAGTCCTCGCTCGCGTAGTTTCTTCAATACCAAACGAACGTGTTTTTCATGCTCTTCCTCATTTTTGGAGAATATCAAAATATCATCTAAATAGATGACAACAAAATCGTCAAGGTACTCTCGGAAAATGTCATTCATCATATGTTGAAAGACCGCTGGAGCATTGGTAAGACCAAAGGGCATGACATTATATTCAAAATGGCCATACCTTGTACGGAACGCTGTCTTCCACTCATCTCCTTCCTTGATTTTTACGAGGTTGTAAGCTCCCCTTAGATCAATTTTTGTAAAGATCCTTGCACGTCCAAGTTGTACTAAGAGACCAGAAATCAAGGGTAACGAATAATGATTCTTCTTTGTTACCTTGTTGAAGCCTCGATAGTCCACGCACATCCACAATGAGCCATCTTTCTTCTTCACAAATAAGATGGGTGCTCCAGCTGACGATTTTGAATGACGGATGAAGTTTTTGGCTAGATTCTTGTCGATGTACTTCCGCAACTCCGCCAATTCCATCTGCAATAGATTGTAGATTGGGCCAAAAGGTAGTTGTGCTCCTTCCTGTAAGTCTATGGCACAATCATATGGTTTGTGTCTCGGTAGCATGTCGGCATTTTTCTTTTGAAACACGTCTTTAAAATCCTTATATTGCTCCGGTATACTTGCTGTCGAGATCTTCTCCCCGGTAGTTGGAGCCGCATAAATGACAAACGGTGTGTCTCCCTTGGACAATCTTATAAACGCCATTGCTCCAATAAATAAAGATTTCTCTATTCGGGGTTTTCTACTAGGCTTGCTCTTGGGTGGTTTTGTGGAAAAGGTCATCTTCCGCAACTTCCAATCTATGGATGGGTTATGCTTTTCCAACCAAGAAAGACCAAGAATAACAGGATTTGATGGGGTTCTAATAATATTAAAAATAATATGACTACTATGGTCCTTAAACGTCACTTCTATAGGTTCTGATTCATGGGTGACACTACCAAACAATAAAGGTCGTCCATTTATGACCTCAACGTGAACAGGTTTGGATTTTTGTACTAAAGGGATCTTATGACGCTTTGCAAATTCTTCATCTAAGAAACAAGCAGATACTCCTGAATCTAATAATGCTAAGGTTCTCAATTTCTAAGGGCCAATAAGCAAAGGGATTGTAAAACAAAGGGCAGGTTGAACGGAAAGAAAGGAACCTAGTTATTGTTGCGATATTTCACTGTCCAGCCGCATCGTTCCTATTGTGGCTGGGCATCCTCGTTTTCCTGAATAAACACACCCCTAGTCTTGATAATACATCGATTTTGCTTTTTGGGGCAGTTTCCAACTTTGTGGCCTTCTTCACCGCAATACAAGCATAGACCTTCCTCCATACGCCGCTTTTTTTCTTCTAGAGTAAGAGATTTGACACGTATCGCATCAATTTGCATGTCTTCTACCTCTGAATGTGAATTCACGTTGCTTGCCGATATAGTTGGGGTGTGGCGAACCGTATGTTGTCTTGAATGTTGGTCTTGGCGACGTTGGAATACGCGGTTATCGCACTTCACAGCTTAGCTAATAGCTTCGTTGAGCGTTTGCGGATCAGGAAGAGTTAACAGCAAATCCTTCACATCGTCCCTTAAACCCCAATAGAATTGACTCATCAATGCTTCTTCGTCCCAATTGATGTCGCATGCTAATTACCTGAAGTCCGATGCATAGACTGATGTAGAACGTATCCCTTGTCGTAGTGACCGGATCTTTGTTGTAGCCCATCGAACCTTGTCGTGTTCACCAAATGCTTTCGCAAATACCTCCAAAAAGGTTTCAAAGTTGTTTAGTATGGACGATCGTTTCTCGAACAAAAGAGCAAACCATGATAGAGCTTGTCCTGTAAGTAAGGTTCCAACAAGTCCAACACGTGACTCCTCAGTTGGATAGCGTTCGGGCTGTAAAACTGTTATCAACCTGATTTGGTTGACGAATCCTCGAAACTTGGAACGTGTACCATCGAACTTGTCCGGAAGGCTAACTCGGGGTTCCTTATGTTGTAGAACCAACGGTGCTTGTCGAACTAGCGGTGCTTGTCGAACCTGAAGTAAAGTTGCTTCTCCAAGTATAGAAGTTTGAGGTTGGTGCAACCTAGATTGTGCCATCCCAGATGCTCCATCATTATGAAGCCTTGCCACGACTCCTTCAATCTCTGTAGTTCTTTGCGATAATGTAGCGAGGGCATTCATGATAGCATCTAACTTGGACTCTGAACTTTCCGTCATACTAATGTCTTGGCCCCCGACTATTCTAAGAGAAGGACAGAAATGACTCTACAAGAAGACAATATTGGTTTAGAGGAAGGTACTCCGCAACCTCTAAAATGCCTTAAGAGCTTCAAGAAAAGGGGTAATCCACTCTCTCCAAGAAGAATAAGACTCCAATATTGTAACAAAAGAAGTATCAGTTTAGAGGAGGGTAATCCGCAACCTCTAAAGTGCTAGTACACTTCCAAGCAGAGGGATAATCCACACTCTAACAAAGAAGAAACTAGCTTTGATATCTGAGGTGAGTGAAGTCTCGACAAACTATCATGGACACAGAATACAAACTTGATATCTACTAAGAAGTTCAAGAAGAACTGGCAAGAACAAGATTAATCAGATGAATACAAGAACAACACCAGAGAGGTGAGCTAGAGCTCCAAGAGATGTGTTGTCGAGACTGAAGAACTCTTCAACCTCGATTTCAATATATACTCCTATTAAGGAAGCTTCTCAAGCAACTTCTACCAACTAGGAAGCTTTTAGAAGGTTCCAGAGACTTGCTTCTAGAAGGTTCTAGAAACTTATCTCTAGAAGGTTCTAAGGGCTATATCCCTAACATCTTCTACCAACTAAGAAGCTTCTAGAAGGTTCCAGAGACTCGCTTCTGGAAGGTTCTAGAAGCTTGTCTTTAGAAGGTTCTAGAAACTTGTCTCTAGAAGGTTCTAAGGACTATGTCCCTAACAGCTTGCTGTCAATGGATCCAATGCATTGGTTTGAGATTGATCTCCGTTAGTGTTATCCTTCCATGTTGTTGGCCTCCTCTCTTCTATGTGGTAGTGGTGTGGGTTGTAGCAATCCCTCGTGGTCTCGACAATTCAAGGCATGTGGGGCAGTCCCGGATTTGATGTTGGGTGTTAAGATAATATCGGCATCGGATAGGTAGGTAGTTATAGGTGATTAGGATTGTAGCTTTGGTTTGAGTTTGTTCATTGTGCATAGTGACGCCTCCGTCATAACCCATTCCACTAAACATGCATGTAGTAGAAGATATAACCTGCATTGGCTTTAGCAATCTAATGTTAAAAATTCTGGAATGCAAGCCCCTGTATACCATAATCTACCTTCCTCGAGTATGCTATTTCCTTGCTTTTCACGTCCTGCACTCACCATTTGTGGCAGTTTGAGGAATCCGGGTCGGCCAAGTCGGTCACAGCTAGCCGGGTTTCACACATTCATCTAAGAATTCATCTCACATTTATTCACGAAGACTTCTTGTGCCAGTTCGGAGGCGAGTGAAGGCAGGGGGTTGCAATTTGCAGCCCCTTTCTGCACTTCAGCTCACGCTTCACCCTGTTTGCATCCCCAGCGAGCAGCCATGAAGGTCATCTTGGTCGGGGATTCCATGGACCTACTCGAGGGGTTCAAGGTCAAAATCAAGGCCAGACGGTTGCGCGTCAGTGGCCCCCGCCGCATGCTCACTCGCAACCTCAAGCACCTCAACAACACAAGAATTGAGATTAGGAATTTCTTAGAGGAGAAGAAGGTATGCCTCACCCAGGGATGACTCATAATCACAGGTGCCCAAAGATGCGGCTTGAGCGCTTGATGATGTGTTGCGATTCGAGTTGGGGTATTAGGAGCACGTGATATTGAGTTTTAGGGTTATGGGGGATGGGTGAATAAGGTGGGTGCATGGGGTTACTGGCCGTGATGGTGGCTACGGTATCAGTATATTGTTCAGAGTCGTGATTGTGTTAAAGATAGTCAATAGTAGTGAAGTTTTAGGGACATTATCTCGAACTGTCTGATTGAGGGAATAGAATGTGAATCTTGTGTTGTGTATGACGATAATTAGAATTCTGAGGTGCAATTGTGTGTTGATGATTGCAAGTGCGTAGGGTGAAGCTGCTTCGAGGCGTGACAGGATAAAAGATGAAGTGTTGCTGGAATGCAACAACATTGAGTTACTGCCTCAATCATGCGCTTTGATCAACCAGGAGAAGTGGTGTGGTTTGTGTGCAGCAGTGTCACAACTTTTGAGCTGAACTGGGTTCAGGGTTCATGTCTGAGGATTGTTTTGGAAGTGGCGATGGATGTCTGTATAACGAGATTGTGCATGGTTTCAATAGAAGGTGGGTGGTTTGTTTCGTTGGTGGGCGGTTTGGTGCAGAAATACGACGTTAAGCAGAAGGACATCAGGAAGTTTTTGGATGGGCACAATGGATACTTGTGATTTTTAGCTCTTCGTGTTTCAATTCTGACAGCATTGTAAATATGTTTCCTTTTTGCGGGAGATTGATACGAAACTTGGTTTGTTTAGTATGAAAGTATTTTGGAATTGTTGGCTTTCTAGTTGACGAGACAGCCATGACTTTTGATGAAGTCAAGAAAATTGATTTAGTCCAACTTGATAGAATTTTGGTAAGTCTAGTGGAAAGACACTTGTAACAAAACTAGGAAACAACTTGATAACAAAGTTATATTGTTTTATGATAAAATATAGATTGGAAGTGAGAATTTTGAATGTTTATTAGTTGGAATCCAAGAATTCTAAAATATGGTGTAATAGTTCACAATAATTTTGAAACACATTGGAATATAGAAACGTATTGTGGTTTTATTTCTTGATTTTGTTCTTCATATGTACTCCTTTCATTGAGGATGTTAGGACAGAAGTTTTTGTATGTATTTATTATGACATCTAATCAAAATATTAAGTGCCATGTTTTGTGTCAAAAAATATCTATATATATATATATATATATGAATTAATGTTTAATATTAATATTTTTTTTAGTACTTGATAAGGTATATGTTTTTTTTGTCTACAATAAAGTAATGTCAAGAATATTTCTAAATAAAATATTAAATTAAAAAAATATGCTAATAAATTATACTTACTTTTATAAATAGTTATAAACATAAGAAAAAAAAATTAATACATATATATATTATATATTATATGGTTGAAGACATAAGAATATCAAGTAGAAAATATTATATTAAAAATATCATATTAATAGTTAAATATTTATTTTAAAAATAATATGTTGTATTTTAAAAAAACCATATGTTACATTTGATGTTTATAGATTTTATAGATTACACATATTTTATGTTTATAGATTATATGTATTTATTAAAATAAAATAAAAAAACATTGTACATATATGTGTGTATATTATTATTCATATATACTTGTGAATTTTAAAGTTTATTTATTAAATCTATTGGTTGCTATTTTACAATAGCATATCTATCATGCATTAATAAAAATCTTATAATAAAATTTGTTAAAATTTTCAATTTAAAAGATTTTGTTTTTATAAGCAAAGATAATCAAGAAATATATTGAATTTAATAAAATTTGCATACTTTGATGCAAACAAAATCTAGATGTAACCTAAAATTTTATCTTACTAGATAAAGGAGTCTTTATAACTTTTTATTTTAGTAATATTAATTTGAAAGTAATTACAATATGTATGTGTGTATATATATATATATATATACATATACAAGCATTGGAATCTCTTACTTTGCTCTAGATATAACATATTCTACTCGGTGTTTAAAGAGGTTTAAAGGTGGATAGATGTTTATTAATTTTTTAAAAAATAGTTATTTTATTTTATTTTATTTTTTGACTTTTTATACAGAATGATGTGGAAATAACATATAATAACAAGTCGTTTAAGTGTACTAAAGAGCAGTACAATTTAGATTTACATATAGATGGATATATATATATATATATATATATATATATGGGTAAATATATCTCTTGCTTTATTTATAAAAAAACCATTTTTATATTTGCAAGATGTAAAACATAAATTTTATCATTTGATTATTTTTTAATAAAAAATATTTTGAGTATATCTGTGATATTTATTATTAGACAATAAGGGGACGTTTTGTTTGGATTTAGTTTGTGATAAAACAACATATAGTTGTCAATAAGAAAATATTGGTTTTTATAAATAAAGTCCTAAACGATTCATTTTTATCCTTAAGATTTATTAATTTTTACAGAAGAGATAAATATAATTAGAGTTTGTTCTGTTATAGTTTGAAAGAAAATTTGGTATCTAAAAATTCTAAGTTGATTTATGGAAGAAATTTTCTATATATATATATATATATAGCGAGAGAGAGAGAGAGAGAGAGAGAGAGAGAGAGAATTGTTAAAATTATCTAAGAATTATCTAAATCAATCCACGCATCCTAACCATAGTAAAAAATTCTCCATTCCTTCATATGTGTTGGTTGAAAACCATTGAAAAAAAATGATTGGATTAGCAACTAATGATGATGAGTGGGTCAATTTAGTAAATAAATGGGTCAATTTTACAATTCATTTTATTTATTTATTTCTCTACCTATCCATTTTAAAACTTTTCTAAAAATGCTACTCATCTGATTTAACGCCGAACCGAACAGAGTATGATCGTGAGTGATATTCAACCATTGCCTATTCAACAGTTTAGATTTTCGATGATGAGATAAGCTACCCCATCACTGCGCTGTCACAAAGACCCCTCTCGCCGTCTCGGTCAGAGAGCCGATCAGATTTACCGTGCCCCTGGTATCTGTCACGGTGAACCTTTTACCAACGCTCCCGGGGAAGAGCGAGCGAGGGCATTGAGAGAGAGAGGGGGAGGAATCAGGTCGCACCCAACTCCAGAAAATCATTTGCAATCCACCTGAACGGGGGTTGTTAATGCGAGGATTCTGGGAATTCTGCAATAACTGTACCGCCCAGATGAGTTGAATAATTTCAATTGACCTCGGTTGTCGTGCAGCTTCGTGTCGAAGCTGTCGTCGTGGCGAGCACTCCACGTGATTCTCGCGTTTCCGGCTTGCTGCGATGGATTTGTGAAAGGTGGAATTGGTGTTGGGGTGGTTTGGTGGGTTGCGGTGCTTCAGAGGGGCGATTGGTTTTTATGGCTGAAGTGGGTTAGAGGGACTCCGAGCCGTCGGGGAGCAGTGGCAGCCATGGAGAAGCAATGGCGATGGATGCTTGGCATGCTATACGTCGTTGCCGTGGCTGTCATCTGGATTGTCGCCAGCTTCGTTGTACAGTCCGTTGTGGGTGCCGGCGTGTCGCCGCTTCACATCGCTTATATCTGTAATTCTTTGTTTGTTGTGTACTTGCCGATTGTGGAAGGGGGGAGGGTGTTTCGGGCATGGCTTGAGAGAAGGTCAGTGGGGCGGGACCAACGTGAGGAGAGTGGGAGTAAAGCTGGCGCGGACAAGGAAACCGTGCATCTGCTGGAGGATCCGGCGGTTGGTGCAGTTGTAGCGATTGAGAGTGAGGAGCTCGGACACGTTAACCCTAATCATGTTGCCAACCAGCAGGAAGCTGTGGAGGCTGAAATTTCTTTGGAAGCCTCGCAGGAAGTAACGAACCGGGAGTGGAGCAGACGAGAAATTGCGCAAGTGAGCCTGCTTATTTGCCCCTTATGGTTCCTCGCCCAGTTCACGTTCAACCTGTCGTTGAGATATACATCTGTGACGGTAAGTCTTCTCAGCGATCTTCTCGTATCTCTCTGTTTACATTTATCTTTGTATCACATTCTAGTGCCATAGTGTTCTAGTTATGAGGTGATGATCACATGTTTCTGAAAGTATCAGTCCACATCTGGATTTTCATTTCATTTTATTATTTATCATTTTTGCAATATAAGTCTAGTTAGCAAGGAGTATTTCGCATCGAATTAGATTGTGGATGATATGAACACTCACAGAATGTTTTTGAGGTACGAAGCACATCAATTTGGTTTTGATTTGATAATCATGAGAGGTGAGACGGGATCAGCTTCCTGCTCTCGAGATTCTTAGACGCTCCGTCGGATACGAATTGAAATCTTACGATTATTGTGTTCTTGTCCTGCAGTCGAATACTATCTTGAGCAGTGCATCCAGCTTGTTCACATTTCTGCTTTCATTGGCACTATTAAACGAGCAGTTTAAGTGGTCGAAACTGGTTAGTGTTCTTTTGTGCATGGTCGGGACCGTAATAGTGACCCTGACTGATTCCACCAAAGTTGGAGGTTCATTTTGGAAAGCAGGGTGGGGTGATGTTCTATGCTTGTTCTCTGCTTTTGTGTATGCCCTTTACAGCACCCTTTTAAGGAGGCGATTACCTGATGAAGAGGCTGGAGAAGGGAAAGCCAGTACGGCCCTATTTTTTGGCTATCTAGGCCTTTTCAATGCTCTTTTACTTGGACCTGTAGTACTTATCCTCCACTTCATCGGTGTGGAGAGATTCGATGGACTTACCCTTTCTCAGCTTGGCCTCATCATTGGAAAAGGTCAGATTAAATCACTTGATTTCTCATTGTTTAGTGGATTTCACGGTCCCAAATTGGATGAATATCCTTACAGCCAGAGCATCATGTTGCTCCGAATTGAAGACTCTAGATCAGCGGGCTGTGAATATGAACATCTAGAAGGATACAGGAACTTTTCAACTGGGCGCTTTGATAGAAGCCTTCTGAAATCGGGTTGGTTAGCTAGTAGTGTTCATAGACGTCTTTTTTTTTTTTTTTTTTTTTTTTTTTTTGGTTTTTTTGAAGGATCTTCCCATCCAGTTTGAGTTCTGATGCACCTCGTTAATTTGGATTTTCTTATGCAGGGCTACTGGACAACGTGTTGAGCGATTACCTTTGGGCTAAGGCTGTCTTACTGACGACGCCAACAGCGGCAACCGCTGGCCTCACCATTCAAGTCCCCATTGCAGGTGTAGTGGATTCAGTGCGTGGAAAGACTCCATCTCCTCTTAGTGTTTTGGGTGCAGCTGCGGTTCTGGTAGGGTTTTTCGGAATCAATTCGCCTGCTACAGGGTGTTGCGACTCCCCTGAAGAGGAAGATTTGGATCATGTGAAGCAAAGCACAAATGTCACCACTGTCTAAAAGTTGTTAAGATGTTACTTGTAACATACTAGAGGTAGTTTCCCATTCTTTGATCTCAATCTGGTAGACAACCGAGACTAAGTGTACATCTATAATTTTCTCTTTTTTCAGGGAATTTTTATGGATTTCCTTAGTCTTTGAAGTTACTTTCTATAAGAGACATAGCTCTGAATTATCGCCGACTTGGGGTCCTCACGAAATTTGAATTACGGTTGATACCAAATATTGGGGTTCAATGCTGCTGGATGCAAAAAGTTAATATTTAACTGTTGCATTACAGAGTTAACAATAGCTGCAAACATTGATGCATGTACATTGAGGTTCAGTCATTAGACCAAAGTTTTATTCATGCTTACAGCAACTGCACCAACAGTACTCTCAATGGTGTCTTTGACAAAACTGCAACGACAGAGTCCAATCGCATTAAATCAACAACCAAATAATTTTGAGATGTGGCTTATAAAGCTCGACAGTGCAATGAAATACAAGCCTACAAACCATTCTGCAAGGACCGCCTCATTCTACAATAATCAGCTTCAAGATTTAGGTCGGAGGTCAGAGCCATGTTCTCCTCTAACTAACATGTTGACCTCCTCCGCCTTACCGCGTCCACCAGTATGTCAAAAGTCTGGACGAGAGACGTAAACTAATCAAATCCCCACCTCAATTCAAAAGCTGCGGAAGCCCAGGCTTTCCTTCCACTGTACCGATAGTCCTCTCTAAAACCACCTCTTTGGATGTGTCCTTCAACCCAGCTGCAATGAAACCACAACTTCGATGAGATACGAGCGCTGATATATACTTCAACAAGAATCGTTTCAGCTGAAGGGGCAGCAACTATTAGATTATTAAAAGGAAAAAGTAGAAAATGGCTATTCGAAACATGAAACGTCCGATACCTATGATGAAATCTTTTATGAAGTGAATCCAATTAGTATACAGGAGAACTGAGGGTAGGGTAAAAACCTATAGTAGGTCGTGGTTTCCGTCTTTCGAGCAATATTGCAGGACGCGGTATGATGCTGCCTGATGCTGAACCTCCAGTTGAAACTCGAACCTTAGTTCCGTCCTCCAAGAATCTATAAGCAACTCGGCAGGGAGCACTGTGGTCGCAGCATTCCCAGCAGCAAAATTTTGTCAATGCTATTGCAATTGAACAGCCGTTGAGACAGGCCTATACCAACTACAATAACTTAAATGTGAAACCGTTCTCAAAAGTTCATTAATATTATTGCATAATATGGATACTTACCCATTGACAGGGTCGACCAACTGCACATTAGAGACGTGCAAGGGAGCCTCCATGGTTATGATCCCCCCAGGGTTTCCTTCTGTCCTTTTGATATGTTTTTTAACCTGACAGAAGAAAATGTGATAAAATTATGAGCTATTGTCGCGTCCTTCGTGTCGTGAAATTCTCAACCTTTTACTTACGATATTTCATGAAAAAAATTCTGGCCGAATTTCAACAACAGACAAAACACCCTAAGAAACATTTAGAGTTCCCTTTTACGGCCGCATGCTCTCTGACATTGAAACTCGATTAACAAACCAGAAGCACCGCTGGAGAAGAGTTTACCAGATTCCGTCCTTCGACAATGACGCGATTCTGAGAGCGAATCACTTTCATGACAGTCCCCGTGAGCCCTGCATCCTTTCCTGCCATGAGCATCACCTACGCCACAACAAAATTCCTCCGAATCAGAAAACTTTTCTCAACATGTAGAGCTCCGTATTGAAAACTACAAAACGACCACGTGTCCGCAAAACTGGTGCAGAACGAATGATCCACCTTGTCGCCGCGGAGAATTTTCCATTGCTTAAACACTTTCACCGCCGCCTTGTAACCCATTTTGCAAAAATCCCCTAACCCGACTCAATGAGATGGTTCCGCTGATACGAAAACCCTAGATTTCAATCCCCCCAACCGATCAATACATTCCACGGCACGAAATTTTCCTCAGCCTCTGCTGCTAACCACGATTAGAAGGCATGACCAAGCACCGCTAAGGCACGAAGCATCAAGCACTCCTCTAATTCCTAATTCAACTTGAAGCCATCGAACAAACAGGAAACACAGAGGAATTCAATACGTCCGGCGAAACCCTAAATCAAAGGCACTGAGTAATTCGTCCATATTCTCGTCGAAGTGTTATTTGGGTGATACCCACCACCTTGTCGATATTCGTCAACAATTTCGCGTCCGTCTGTCAACTGAGCGAAAAGGCTCACGTACGCCAATATTCGTCGATGAAATCTCGTCGTTCAAGTATTTGGACGAGATATCCTCGTTTGCCACATTCGTCGACATTTGCAACTGTTTCCTTCCTCCCTCCAACTCCGCTTGCTTCGATTGAAGCTTGTGGTGTCGAGAGCGGTGTTAAGACATTCTGAAAGCTGTGAGTAAAGCGAAAACCTTCCTCTCTTTCGATTGGAAGGGTTGTGAAACACAGTGTTCGAGGATCGTGTACTTTGGTTTAAGGCAAGGGAGGAGTTTGGGATTGAGGAATGGATATTATGCCATATCAGCGATTTCCTGCCGCGTGCATACTCGAATACGAGAGACGTTCTGATGCATCGACGACGCCAGTACCATTACTGCCCTGCAGCGGATTGAGTTTGCGGAGGTATGAAATTGGCCATAGACACCGCAGAAGTTGAGGCGAATTCATCAGTACTCAACGATGGGTTTCTCACGAACCGTGTAGACTTAAGTCTGACAGCCATCGATTAGGACATAGAGATGTGGTTACCTCGTGATTGTAATGCTAGTGACGGTGTTGGAACGTGTTTCTTGTTTCTCTCTCATTCTCCAGTTGGGCATCAGTGCCATGTCTTCACAAGTCTTGGTTCCTTTTTCTTTTCCTTTTCCGCTTGTGGATATCAAGATATTGAAGCGTGCGCGTGCTACTGAGAATTTACCGGAGACGCTAATTTCACCAAATGAAAGCGTTACTTTATCCCTGAAGTTGAAGAACCGACTTGAATATTGTTGCTACAACGCCAGTAGTAGTGTTCGAAACCTGAGATTTAAATGCGGTGCTCCTCCCTTCAATAGCACTCAACGTGTTGATAGTGTTTCAGGAATGGATAGAGTTCTGGACGTAGGCTTAAGGGATAAAAGACGAAGATGTGGGGTTTGACTCCAGATGCGAGTGCCACTGTATTGAACTCCACCTATTTGCGACGTTCATGGGAGACCAAACCCAAAATATCACTAGCCTAGATTTGTAAGCTTTGATTCTACGATTGTAGTATGGGATTTTATTCTTCTTGCAATGGACATGGGTGGTTTTGATTTGTCAGGTCGTTGATGAGGTTTTCACTAAGTGACTTTCCATCTGCATTGAGAAGTACGCACCCATTACGTTGTGCACCAAGGGCCAAGTGGAAGCTACTTGTTAGCCTTTGAGGCGTTTTTGAGGGTTTTGGTGTAGTGTATCCGCGATTACATTGGATATCATGTAGGGAAAATTTCAAAAATCCCCCTGCATATTGTTGAAATATCAAGAATACCCTTGTATTCTTGATAATCGCAAAACTGCCCCTCATACCCCAGATAATATCTAACCTACTCCTGACCTTGCAAAGTGGGCCCTTTAGCGCGTGCTGCGCACACTTTGGTGCGACACTGCACCTGTTTGCTTGCAAGGTCTCGATTTCTTCGTCGACGGTGCCACTACTCACTGCTTGCGATGCTCTCCATGCTCGTTGATAACCTCTTGATATCCATATCATTTCCATGGGGCAGAACAATAGAGTCCAAGTCTATGTTGCTCCAAGCATACAATTTTAGTGTAACAAAACTTTTTAGCAATACAACATAGAACAGGATCTGTTGGCCACTGAATCTGCTCGCCACTCAGATATCTAGCCGCCAAAATTTGTTCACCAAAATATCTAGCCGCCAAAATTTGTTCACCAAAATATCTAGCCGACGATGCAATTACCCGCTGCGGTTGCTCCCCACGCTGCTCGTTGCTTGCCGCTTGCCACTCACCACTCACCTAGTCGCTGGCCACATAATTGTCCGCTGCAGCAATGAATATTTAGGTTGTTGTGGTTTTCCACACTCATTGGCGCAGCCTCTTCTGATGATAGGTTCTTTCCCTCGCACGCTTTGATTGATCATGGTGATTGATAATGGTTCAATTTGTGGCTGTTTTTTTTTGGTTGTTTTTCTCTTGTTTTATTTTGCCTTGCTTGGACACACTTGCAAATCTTTGTTATCATCGCCACTCTACACCCTCCGCCTAGTCGCCTATCCCGAGACCCTGATTCTTCTTCTTCCATGTGCCGTTAGACATTAAGAGAGAGAGCAAGAAAGCAATCAACATCGACGAAAGCCCACACATGATGATGATACTGATGATGATACAAGCAAGCAAGCAAGTGGCCGCCTATTGAATCTTACAGTAGCAATCTCTTACCACGAAGATCCATCCGTATTTATGTGGTGAAGAGTGGCGTATTTAGTAGGAGTCCAACTCTTATTTTACGTGCCTTTCACCCCCGACGATGGCGAGCTGCAATCGCTACAAACCAATTCACAGCTTCTTGCGTTCCTTCAAACCATATAAATCAATCACAAGCAATTGCCAAAGCTCCACTTGTTTCTTTCAAACCAAGACACAACAACTGAGTACCTATTGTGGCTCATGAATCTTAAAATTGTTCACAATTAGATGCTCTCGTGATAGGCACCAACTTTCGAAGGTAGAGGCAGGAGTAAAGGTGAGCATATGTAAAGACTAACTAGGCATTTAAGTGATTCGCAATTGTGTTTGAGAAGGAAAAGCAATGACACAAAAGCAGTGTGGGAAGCCCAACATGAAGCTCTGACAACTTGGAAGCACGGTGGTGTGCGGAACAAAGATTGGAAAAGGTGGCAACTTGAAGTTTTCATTCCGTCGCAGCGCATATTCCAAATATTTCACTGGTGGTGAAGCTCCCCAGCTTTCACTCTCAAGAATGCGCCTGCCCACGACATTCACGACGTGAGCAGTGAGCAGCGTTGAATGTTCATTCTAGATGAAGCATTTCAGAGATGGTATTTTGATTAGTGAAAGTATCTGATTGATATTCAGGTGGACAAACCTATAAAAAGTACTGTGGCAACGCAAGGTCAATGGGGAGGGCCCGGAGGATATGACTTCTACGATGGCTCAGGCGATGTTGTAGAGATCACGGTGAAATATGACGATGAATGCATGCATTTGTACAAATCAAATACAAGCAAAATGGTGTTTGATTCTCAAGTGCTTCTCACGGTGAAGGAGGGGAAGGAGAAGAAGCCAAGGTAAATGAAATTAGATCAATATCACTAAATTGCTTTATCAAATCTTGAGCTCCAAGTTCTATTAAAATTCGCAAAGAGCTTCAAGTCTTGTGATGGACAGTGTCCGATGGTGGACATAATTTGTCATATTTTGGCTCAAATTCCCGAAGGCCACTAAAAACCTACAACAAACAAGATTGATGACGGTGCCTAATGTTGCATACTATTTGAAGCTCACCAATCGTGCTAGTGCAACTCTTCACTTTGCAGGTCCAATCGCTTGCTAGCAACGACTCCAACTTTAGAGATACCAGCTCGCACCTAGTCACCTCCTCCTTACTGTTGTTTGCACGATTGCAGGATGATACATGGTCCTCCAAAAAAACCATGCGATCAATGTTAATCGCCTCCCTTTAGGGCCGCCAATGCCCCGACTCCTCCGTACATCCAGGACTCAAATCCTAGTTGGTGGGATTCAATGGCTAGTTGAACTTACTGTAAACTCAATTGATATTTCATCCGTTTAAATTTTTAACATCATTGTATTTTTTTTTTTATAAGTTTGTTTTCTTGAGAACTTTTGGAGCAAAACTTATACTTCAAGATGTCACCTTCTTTAACAATTGGTGTTGTTTTTACTTCTAGTGACAAAGTAAAGAAAGTAATATCTTGTGATGTGATTAGCAAGCACTATATAATGGCTATTATGAAGTACCACAACAACAATTGCAAATAAAGGTTGCATGCATAACAATTGCAATCGGCATGTATAAGTGATTTGATCATTTAGAAATTTATCTATAAACACATGTATATTGGTACTAAACACTTATATAACTACCATGCCAACCTAAGTTGGATAGCAAGTAATATCAAAAAGAAATTGGAAGACACATTAGAATATAAAGCAATAGATATTTAACATAATCATAATGTCATAATATCCTATTTGATAGCATGACATAAAAGAAGAAGGCTATTTTTAAGCTAATTCACTCTTACGAAGATAGCTATATCAATCTTAAAGCATATTGTCACTAAATCAAGACAACAAATCTTAGAAATTATGCAAAATCAAGGATTGATGAAAAAAATTGCTTTCTTCAATTATTCGTTGCTTATAATTAAGTTTGCATGGCTTGTAATATTATCAACTTATCATTAGCATCAACAATATGTATTTGTAAGAAAAATATTGTGGAGTACTCCTAATTGCTATAACAATCAATATAGAGGAGCAACTATTTTCTATTGCACTTGCTATTATTAATGTTGAAAATGATGAAAATTGATTGTGGTTCTTACAAAAGCTAATTACAATTCTTATATCAGGTCTACTTAACAACAAACTTTCAAAGTTTATTTTTTTATCTAATCAACAAAAAGGTCTTATTGATGCTATCAAATATGGATTTCCTATATGGAACTAAATATTTTGTATGCATCTTTTAATTGATAACTTACAATAGTAATTTAAAAATCTATTGCTTACATAACATCTTTGAACAATAGTATAAGCAACAATTATTTTTGGTTTTAACATCAAAACATAAAAAATTTGGATTATAACTAAAGAAGATGTTGAATACTTGATGAACATTAGACCACAATATTGGGCATTATCACAGTTTGACAAAAATTGATTTCGCTACATAACATCAAATATTGCAAAATCTTTCAATTCTTGGTTCTTAAAAGCATGTTGTCATATTACATGTTGTCTTGTTTGGAATTGCCAAAACACCTGACTGCAGAAGGTGCAGTTTTATTTTATAAGTATTTAAGAAATCCTAATAGGTTTCACCCATATTAGAAGAATTCAATTCGAATTTAAATTCAAAAGTGCTTAAAGTCAATACAAAGTA